ATCCTGACTCTGCCATGTACTAGCTGTGTGACTCGGGGCAGGTCACTTAAATCTCTCGGATCTTGGTTTCTTCCTCTGTGAGATAGGCATAGAATGAAAGGAATGACTGGTGCCTGGTACAGATCAACTGCTCAGTGTTAATAAATGGTAGCAATTACTATTCACCCCCATCTTGCAGATGAGTAAACTGAGGCCCAGAAAGATGAAATGGCAGAGCAGGATTAGAACTTGCAGCCACAGAGACGAATGAAGCACAGAACCCCACCTTCCAGTAGGCCTCTGAGAATCTCCTGGAGCCTCAAACCTGACACCCCTGCAGGGGGCCGGTGCCTCCAAATCCCCAGGTCCTGTGACCCAGTGTGAGCTGAGAAAAGCAGTTCAGACCCAGGCTCAGGGCAGGTGTCAGGCCTGGCAGCCCTGCATCTGGAGAGGGAGCTCTGGGCTGAAGGTCCAAAGACCCCTGTGTGGTCCCCCACGTGACCCTGGGCAGGTCACTTCTCTCTGAGCCTCAGGTTTCCTCCCTTGTAAAACGAGGACATGCTGGGTCTGCCCCATCCTCCCGCTGCCTGGCCCCTTCCCTGAGGCCCAACACACTGCTCACCCTCCGTGGGCCCCAGAGCCCCTGCCCCTGCCCCTCCCCTATCTGGGCCCTCAAAGCCACCATGCAGGATGAGGGCTCCGGTGCTCTCCCAGGCAGCCCCCACCCTGCTGGACCCCTCATCTCCTCCCACCCAGGCCCTGCCTGCCCTGCCCCCAGCCCAGATTCCACTCCAGGAATCGCGGGGCCTGCCAGGCCCCCCCGGAGCCGAGCCGCCAGGAAGAAGCTGCTTGTGTGGTTTGGGCGGCAGCAGAGGGTCGTGGCCTCAGCCAGGATCTGGGCCAGCTCCTGGAAGGCGGGGCCGTCTCCCTGGCCCAGGCTGTCCCGCCTTCCCTCCCACTCCCTGGCTGCCCCTACTCGGCCTCCCCGCGGGGCTTTCGCCCTTCTTCCCTCCTCTCCACAGGTGGCCTTGGGCCTTAGCTTCCGTTTCCTGTCTGTGAAGTGGGCTGTCCTTGTACCTACCTCCAAGTGTCACCGCAATGTTCAGGCTGATAAAGCACAGATACGGCATCTATGGGGGCGCCTGCCTCTGAGGATGCCAGCCTGGCTCGGGGACACCCCTACTCTGCACCTGCCTCGCCACAAGCTTCAACCACCATCTCCTATGACCTCTGACTCCCAAACGGTGTGGACTGCTGTTATTTGCGTTTTGTATTTTTATTTTTATTTTTTATTTTTATTTATTTATTTTTTTAAATTTATTTATTTATTTATTTTTGGCTGTGTTGGGTCTTTGTTTCTGTGCGAGGACTTTCTCTAGTTGTGGCGAGCGGAGGCCATTCTTCATCGCGGTGCGCGGGCCTCTCACTGTCGTGGCCTCTCGTTGCGGAGCACAAGCTCCAGACGCGCAGGCTCAGTAGTTGTGGCTCACGGGCCTAGTTGCTCCGCGGCATGTGGGATCTTCCCAGACCAGGGCTCGAACCCATGTCCCCTGCATTGGCAGGCAGGTTCTCAACCACTGCGCCACCAGGGAAGCCCTACGTTTTGTATTTTTAATGCAGTATTTCAAACACACTGAAAAATACTTGGGAAGCCACGCTACCACCACCCACACGTGTTAACAGTTTGTCGCATTTGCTTCTGACCTTTTTTTATTCATCCGTACATTATTTTTTAAATGTGTTGAGTACCTACTGTGTGCCAGGCACTGTTCTAGGCACTGGGGACACAGCAGTGAACAGCAGCATTAAGAACTGAGCCCTCGGAGAGCACATTCTCAAGCTGGAAGACAAGTAATGTACACAGAAGTCAGATGCACGGTGGGTGAGAAGAGGCAGGCAGAGAGCAACAGGCAAGGAGGCATCAGGAATCGAGAGGCCCGGGGGCGGGGGCTTCCTTGAGCAAGTGTCATGAGGTCAAGACCAAAAGGAGCGGAGGGATTTGGTTAAGTGAAAACCTGGGGGCAAAGCGTCCCAGGCAAGGAAATAGCCAGTGCAGGGGTCCCAAGGCAGAGCCTGTCTGGTAGGTTTGAAGAATGGTGAGGCAGCTAGTTATGAGCCAGAGTCTAGGAATGGCTGGCTCACTAGGTACAGAGCCTGCCAGGCCCTGGGCTCCACGCCTGTTTGGAATCATCTCATTTAGTCCTTACTGCATTTTACAGATGGGGAAACTGAGGCCCAAGGTGGACAAGTGGCTTACCTGAGGTCACCCAGCTAGCAAGGGGATGTCTTGGGATTTGAAGCCAGACCTGGGTCCCCCCTCAGAGCTGGGCGCGGGCCCTGGGGTGGCCAAGGAGAAGGAGGAGGAGGAGGAGGGTGTAGGGAGAGGCCACCCCACCCCGGAAATGCCGAGAAGGTAGCAGCCCATCCCTGGCCTGAGGCTGACCTGAGGCTGGGAGGCTGCAAGAGGGACCGGCTTTCCCTTTGAGTGCTGCTGACTCAGGCGCCCTCCTGCCCCCATCGTCCCCCCAACCTCCAGGACAGGTGTGGGGGCCGCCTGAGGTCACTGAAGACCTTGTGTCCATGCCCTTGCCTGGGCTCCCCAGAGCCTGTTTCCTGCTTTGAGCAATGAGCAGGCGTGGCCCTGTTGCCCTGTGACCATGGTAATCATACACCTGGGCCCGGGCTCACGGTGGGGGGGGGGAGGGGAAGCACAAGCAATCCGTCCTTGGTGTCCCACACTCACCCCGTGCCATTCCTAACCCTGCCCCACGTGTGGATGGGCTGGGCCTGTCTGCTCATGTCTCAGTTTACCCATTTAACCCCTTGAACCTGATTAGATGGGGCCAAGCTGGGGCCTTAGAGTCACCTGGGAAAGGACTGGTTTAAAATCCAGGCCCTGGGGCCCTACTCCATGGGTGTTCGCATAGGTGTCGGGGGAGTTCTGACACTCTGAGGACCCCTGCTTGCCTGGGCCCCCCCTCTCCACCCTCTGTCCGCTCTACCGTTGAACTGCTCACCCATTACAGCCCAGCTTGAACTGCCCCCCTCCCTCCAGGGGCACCTACCCTGCGTCAGATGCCTCTTCTGGGCTCCCACCACCCCCGGGTGTCCCCATCACAGCACAGCGAACTCCGGGTGGCTGTGGTCTCCACTCGGCTCTGTGCTCCCCTAGACTGTGAGCTGTGGGTGTGCGGTGGGGCAGGCATGGCTGCTTACTGCCTGCTGACTCGGTCCCCTTTCAAAGACAGAAGTGGAGACTGAGGAAGGGCAGGGACTTGCCCAGGGTGACAGAGGGGCAGAGCTCAAACAGCAATTAGCAAGAACTCTAACGACAGCTGAGTCCCACATGGCACTTCCTGTCTGCCTGGCTGCGGTCTGGTCTAAGGGCTTTACAAGTGCTAATTCATCTCATCTTCGAAACGACCCTCTGAGGCAGGTACTAGGATTACCCACGTTTTTTACAGGTGAGGAAACCGAGACACAGAGAGCTTAAGCATCTTGCTCCAGGCCGCACAGGCCTTCGTTCTGCAGAAGAGGCCACTGGGGCTCAGGCTGTGAAAGTCAGCCATGGGTGGCAGGGCAGGGACCAGAACCCAGGCTTGGGACCTGCTTGAGCTGCCTGTGCTGGGCATGGCATGGGCAGAGGCCGGAGGTGCCTGACCCTTCTCAGTGCAGCCAGCTCAGCCCCCTTGCCTGCACCCACCTGTCTTAGCTTCCTCATCTAGAACCTCGGGGGCTTCCTCCCTCACAGAACTGTTGAGAGCACTTAATCAGCTGAAACCAGGAAAGGGATGTGATTGATGCCTGCCACACCTGTAGACACTCATAAGCCTTGTTCTTATATTCCTTCCTCTCACCTCCCTGCCCCTCTGCTCGGGCCTCTTCTAGATCCAGCCCCAACCCCAGGTAAGGGCTGAGCAGGGCTGACTGGGGGCGGGGGGGTGGTCAGGCCTGTGGCTTGGCAACTGCCTGGGGTCACAAGTCAGGCACCTCCCTTGACACAGCTGGTGGGGTCTGGGCCAGGCCTACCTGCCCCACCTAAGCTTCTGGGACCCTGAGTCCAGGGCAGCCTATTCTCGGTCCTGGAAGGAAAGGTTCAGCCTCCAGGCCACTGTCCAGATGAGAAAAGGAGGCCTGGGATGTGGGTGGGGACAGGCCATCGTCCCTCAGCGTGGAGGCGGTGCAGCTTTGTTTATAACACCATTCCCTGCGTAGGGAGGCCCTCCCCCCATGTCGGAGAAGCCTGGATCCAATCTTGGGACCAAATGCCAGCTCCCCAGGAACGGCCTCTTCTCCCCACTGGGTCTCTGTCCCTCTCTTTAGCTGATGGCGCTCCTAAGAATCCCTCGTGCTGCCACCAGAGATTTTTATGTTGGATACTGAAGGATGTATAGGAGTTCCCCAGGGGGCTGTGGGCGGAGGAGGGCAATCCTGACTGACCACCCAGCGGGACCAGGAGCGTGGCGTGGGCGGTGCTCTGGCGCGCTGGGGGATGGTCCAAGTGGTGCTCCGTGAAACTGGTCAAACATAATACAACTCGTCAATCACCGGGCCAGTGGCGCAGATGGGGAAACTGAGGCCGGGGGCCAGGGAGTCGCCCCTGTGAGAATTCTCCTGGCTTTCGGGACGGGGCTGCCTCATTACCTGAGTGTGCCCGTCGCTCGCTCATTGCAAGAAGGGAGAAGACTCCTCCGAATGGGGGAACGCGCGCCTCCCCTCAAAAACTCGTCCCCAGTAGCCCACGCCAGAGCTCTGCTCGTGGACTACAAGTCCCGGAAGGCCCCGCGCCGCGGCGCACGCGCAGCGGGCGTGCTCGCGGGCGCCCACTGAGAGGAGGCCGGGGCGGGGCGGGCGGCGCGAGGGCCTCCCATTGGCCAGAAGGCACGTCCGTTGGGCGGGCGCGCCCCTTGCAGGGCCCGGCCCGCCCCGCCGCGCCCGCGCCTGGCGCCCGCGCCTCAGGACCTGCGGGGCCGCGCGGCGCATCCTGCGGGCGGCGGCGGCGGCGGGGGGCCGGGCGCAAGATGATGAAGTTTCGGTTCCGCAGACAGGGCGCCGACCCGCAGCGCGAGAAGCTCAAGCAGGAGCTCTTCGCCTTCCACAAGGTGCGGCGGCGGGCCGGGGGCGGCTGGCCGGGGGCGGGGACCGGGCCGGAGCCACGTCGGGCCGGGGGAGGGGGCGCACGCTGGGCCCGGCCGCCCAGCTCTGCTCTGCCCGAGCCGCGCGCCAGCCTCGCTCCGTCTCTGCCCTCCGCTCCCCTGCTCCTGTCTCCGCGCCTTGGACTCCGCCGGCCTCTCCCTGTGGGCCTCTCCGCCTCCGTGTGTCTCCGGGCGTCTCTCAACTCTCGCTCCGGCTCCCACTCTCTTGTCTCTTTCTCTCTTTCTCGCGGACCCCTCGGCGCCCCTGCGCAGCCCTTGGGCCCGGTTTGTTTTGCTTTCGCACCCAGGCCGGTGGGGAGGGGTGCGGAGTGGAGGCAGATGTGGGGGGTGGGGCTGGGAAATCCCTGCCCGGTTCCTCTCCTCCCTTCCCCCACCGCCCGGGGCTCCGGCTTGCGCTCTGCCCGGCACTGCCGGGGGCTCCAGCGGGGGATGCCTGGCCGTTTACTCAACTGCACTTCGAATTGCGGAGCCTCAGTTTCCCTTGCTATGGAATAGGGCCACTGCCCTCCTTGCTGTGGGCTCTGTCACGGGGGCAGCCGACCCACCGCCTCTCCTGGAGCCAAGGCGGAGGTGGGGTGGGGGCGGAGGGCTGCTCCTTCCTTTCTTTCCTGGGTAGGGCCAGAGGGGCCACGGGAAAGGGGCTGCCTTCAGCCCCGCCTCCCCTGCGCTGGTGTGTGGTTGAGAGAGGCCCCAGCCTGCCCCTTGGTAACTCTCCCCAGGGGTGTCACTTCTGGCCTCAATTTTACACCCAAGCCCTTTGATCGCAGGGCCCCTTGCTGCTCTTGGGGCCTAGAGTCATTATGCTCACACACCGGTGAGAAAATTGAGGTTCAGGGCTGACCACGTGCCCAAAGTCAGAGTGAGCTGGGGCACTTGGTCTTTGGGTCCCCTTGTCAGTGGGATCTGACTTTAGCCTTGAGGGCCAGGGGCTTCGGGAGGGGTGCTGTGGTCCCCACCTGGCTGCCAGGAGACTCTGGTCCAGGAGGAAGCTCTGGGGCGACCGGTCCCGCAGTGACCGAGGCCGGGTCGCCTCTCAGGGTAGGCGGGGTTTTCCAGGTGGCGTAGGGGCTGCCAGGACCCTCAGACTTGGTGGCCAAGCGGCCCAGAGAGGAGGCTGGTGCCCAGGGGCTCTGAGGTGTCCCCCTTCCAGTGCTGAGTGGCCAAGGGTGAGTCCCCTCGAGATGAGAGGGCAGTGATGGTGGGGCAGGCGTAGCGCTCAGGTGTCACTTCCTCAGCCAGGGAGTCGGGGTGTGAAGTGGGGACCTGAGACAGGTGGAGGGGAGGCTTGCTCCCCCTGGCTGGTGGGTGAGGCCCCGTTCTGAGTGGGCAGCAGTGGTGGGAGGGGGTGGTCTTGGGCAGAGGGTCACTAGAGAGGAGGGGCTGGTAGGTGATCACTAGAAAATAGGCCCAGATTCCTGAGTGGTGGGGCATGGGCAGGCGGTGGTGGTCCAGGGTGAGCCTGGACTTTGGACTCAGTCTTGGGTCCAAATCCCAGCCCTGCCCACGAGTTGCCTGTGGCATGTCCACTCTATATCAGTTTAACGAATACCGCCTCGGGGTGGGGCTGATGTGCTAGCTGGGGAGATAGTGAGAAGCCGAAAGAAGAGAGGCAAGTGTGCGGCCTCCAGTGGTTTGGTTGGTGGTCAGTGCCGTGGGTGAAATCAGGCAGGTGAGGGTGTGGAGTGATGGCTGCTGGGCCAGCTCAGGGAGCCTCTGAGCAGTTGTCTTCTGAGCCGTGGGAAGGAGCCCACCGTGGAGAGTGCCGGGTGAAGCATGTTCCAGGTAGACGGACCGTAGATGCAGAGGTCCTAGTAGATTGGAGGAGGGCAGAAGGCCATCAAGTGAGCTGGGGGCCGGTGGGAGGAGCCAGATGGAGGGGACTTGGCTTTGACTCGGAGTGAGCCCCGGAGGGTCCTGAGCAGAGGAGTGGGCCGCCAGGCTCGGTCAGGTCCAGTGTGGGCACGGCGGTGCCGGTGCTCCCCAGCCCACCCCGGTCAAGTGGGCTCACCAGTGCCCAGATGGGAAGCCGAGGCTTGGTCAGTGCTGTGACTCACCCAAGGTCAAGCCAGGTGCTCAGAGGGCTCAGTCCCTGCCTGGATGGGGTGAGGCTGGAGGCAGGCTGGGGCCACAGGCCTTGGGACCAGGGTTCCTTATAAAACTTGTGTCTTGCTGACGCAGTGGCCGGGGGGTACTGTCACCCACATGGGGTGTCCCACCTTGGTGTTGAGGGCAGGGGGCTGGGGGCCCAAGGGTGCAGGCTTCCCAGGGAGGGCCCCCAGCCAGGCCTCGGGGTTGACTAGGGGCTCCTTGGGTAGGTGGGGGGGCGGGGAGCCAGGGCTGGTCTGCACTGGGACTGGCCCTGCTGGGAGCTGGGGACCTGGTGGGAGCCGTTGCATTGGCACCACCAGTGCACAAGCCCCCTGCCCACGCTCCCAACCAGGGATGGGAAGGGAGTCACGTCTCCCAGTTTCCAGGTGGGAACCCAAGTCTGGCAGGTGCGTGACACCTTCGGGGCCTGGGCAGGAAGCTCCTTCTCTCTGGGCCCCAGTCTCTCTGTCTCTGGGGCTGGGGGTGGGCAGCAGCCCTGGGTCGGGGTGGCGCTCGAGAGCCTCTGCCTAGCTGCCCTTGGCTGCTGGCCTCTGACCACCCCTCAGAGCCTGTGTCGGGGGTTGCCTGGCACCGCACCCCACTTCAGTCTGCCTGGAGGAGTGGGGTGCGGAGCCCTGCTCCGTGGGGCAGCAGGGTTCAGTTCTGTGCCTGCGCCTCCTCTCGAGCCCCGTTCTGTTTGTTTTCAGAGCCCTGCGCACGGTGGGGTGGACCCGAGTGTAGAGAGGGACGGGGCCTCGACCTGGGGTGGGGGGCCTCTGTGGCGGGGCCAGGGGCTCAGGCCCTTCCTCACTGGAGCTGTGACTACCCGTTTTGCAGCTGAGGGCACTGAGGCCCGGAGCATGGGTGTGAAGCAGTGGCAGAGCCTGGAGGCTGCCTCGGGGTGGGTGGGCCGTGCCTGTGCCAATGACCTCACCTCCTTGCAGACCGTGGAGCATGGCTTCCCCAACCAGCCCAGTGCCCTGGCCTTTGACCCTGAGCTTCGCATCATGGCCATCGGCACCCGGTCTGGGGCTGTCAAGATGTATCCTTTGCGGGCCGCGGCCTTCGGGGCCCCTCAGAATGTCCTGGTTGCAGCTCCCCGTGTGCCGGGCCCCTGGGGCAGGGCCCCGGCTGGGAGGCCACGGGAGCTGCCCGGACCCTGGTGGAGGCTGGTGCAGCTGCTGCCCTGAGACGCCTCCTCACAGAGACTATGGGGCTCAGCTTGCGGTGGCCCCGGCTGCCCCGCGCTGGCTTTCAGCCAGCCAGTTACCTGGCAGTTACCATCCCAGCAGCTGTGACTGGGGAGGTGGGCCGGGGCTGGTTGCACACGGTCCCTAGCAAGGGGGGTGGGTGGGCCAGGGTCACGGCGGGCCTTGCCCTGGTGCCCGGGCACACACACGTGTGCCAGTGTGAAGACACGTGTGCCCAGCCGAGGTGCTGGGGGCAGTACCAGGCTCGGCATGGTGGGCGCAGCGCGGCCCGCACCTGGATGCTGGCGCCACACAATGGGCCTGTGAGCCGCACAAAGGGGCATTTTCCGGCGAGTGCAGGGCGGGTGTGGGGGGAGGCGGGCAGCTGGACGCCTCCCTCCTGCCGTGGGGGATCCCAGCCCCGCTGCACGGGGTGAGCCCCTCAGGTGGGGCCCCAGGGGCAGGGTCTGGCCAGCCACAGCATGGTGGCACGGGGTCTCCCCACCCAGGGGCTGGGGGCACTGGCCAGGAAGTTGTGAGTTTGCCGACTCCAGGGAGAGCGGCTGGACCTGGGTGCCCCCACCTCCCGTGGGCCCCTGAGGCATCAGTGGGCACGCAGGGGCCGGTGCCCCGGCCGCCTGCCGAGGGGTCCCACTTCCTGGCCTGCTGCTTCCGCGTCTTATGGCGCTGTCCTGCCCCATGTGTGCTGTGGGCCCGGAGCCCCTTCCTCTGTGTCCGGGCGGAGTCTCTGCTGGTGGCACAGCCTTTCTCGTGGTCACAAAGGACAGGCAGGCAGACAGCCTCAGAGTGGGACGAGGCCCCCCACCCCTCCCAGACCATTCCGGCCTGAGTCCTGGGCTGGGAAACTGATGCTGGCCACAGGGGCCGCAGCCCGCCCCCCGCCCCCCACCCCCGGGTCTGGCCCCGTCTCCTTGGCGACCCTGGCTCCCCCCAGGTGCTCCTGCCCTGTTTTGTGTCCTCCCGGCTCCTGCAGGGAATCCCAACTCCAGCTCCAGGCAACGGCTCCTGCCTTGTCTCTAGGCAACGTCCCTGACCCCTGCCCAGTCCTCCCTCCTGGGGCCCCTCGGCCTGCCCGTCCACTGTGAAGCCTGGGGTTGCTGGGACTTTGGCGCTCACACTGGGCGCTTGAAGCAGGTCACCCAAGCTTCCGTGGCCTCTCGCCTTGCGGTGGGGGCTGCCTGCCCCAGAAGGAGGTGGGGTTCCTGGCCTGCAGCTGGCGTCGGCCTGTGGCTGAGCCTCCTGGGCCTGGCTTGGCATCTCCGCCTGTGTGATGCCGATGTGCGGGGCCGGCTCCTGTGCACACACCTCAGAGAGGCTGACGCAGAGCCGTGAGCCGGGCCCGGGCCGTGTGTGCGGGGGGTGCTTTTACTCTCACGTGCCCTGCGTCAGCCCCACGAGGTGGGAGTGCAAGTCGCCAGCCCCATTTACAGATGAGGAGGTGAAGGTCGTGCAGCAGCACCGACTTGCAGGACCGAGCGAGCCTGTGTGTCGAGTGGCGGTGCGAGACGGTGCTCCTTGCGGCGAGGAGCCCCGTGGACTGGGGAGGCCCCTGGATAGGCAGGCCCATTGGATAGGGCCCATCAGAGTGGTCCTGGGAGGAGGAGGTGTGGTTTCCCGGCCTGTGCCTGCTTTCCGCCCTTGACCCGTCACCCTCAGCTACGGTGCCCCCGGCGTGGAGTTCACGGGCCTGCATCGAGACGCAGCCACCGTCACCCAGATGCACTTCCTGCCCGGCCAGGTGAGCCTCGGCCCTGCCACTGGCTCCCATGAACCCCATTTCCGCCCCGCCCCCTGCCCCAGACCGGCTCAGTCTTGGTCTCACTAACCTGCCAGGGCCGCCTCCTGACCCTGCTGGACGACAGCAGCCTCCATCTTTGGGAGGTCGTCCACCACAACGGCTGCGCCCACCTGGAGGAAGCCCTCCACCACCAGCCACCCAGTCGCCCGGGCTTTGATGGTGCCAGGTACTGGGGGACTCGGCCAGGGACGGCTGCTGGATGTGGGGCGAGCCTGTGGAGGGGCAGGGGGACAGGAAGCTGCCCTGGGGCTGGGGTTCAGGGGGCACGTCTGTTGGCCTGGTGGGCATCAGGTGGGGGTCCTGGTAGAGTCTGAGGTGAGCAGGGACAGTCTGTGCTCCAGGACCACTGGGGCCCCAGGAGACACGGGATGGGAGAGTGTGTCCAGAGCCCGGTGAGGGGCGTCTGGGGCAGGAACTGACATCAGCACAGGTCCCCTGGGCCCTCAACAGGGGGCGGGGCGATGGGCCACAGTGTGCCTGGGTGAAAGGGCAGGTCGGGGGAAGGCGGGTCCCACCGGGCTGTGAGGTGCTGGCAGGGTGCCCCAGGGGGGGCGACAGCATGGGCTTGGACCCCTGGGGAGAGAGTAAGGGGCCTCTTGGTTCCTGGCCCCGCAGCCCTTGTTGAAATGGCCAGAGCGGGTGAGTCCTTCAGGTTGCAAGGTGCCTGTCCAGCTCCGCGGGAGGCTTGTCCTGCTTGGGCTTGAACTGGGGCTAGGTGACCCCCGCCTCCCCACCCCCGGCCCCCGTGTCCAACCCTAACCCAGGATGGATTCCCGGGGTCTCCCAGCCTCTGCAGGGGAGCGATCCAGGGCCCTCCTGCAAGTCAGGGAGCTATCCATGGGCTGGGGGTGGGGCTTCCTGAGTGGGGCTCAGGGGGCCGTGCGTCCTGAAGGTTCTGGTCCTGGCCCAGGTGGGGCTTGGTTCCTGCCTTCCCCTCTTGGTGGGTGGGAGGAGCTCAGGGGCCATTCTCCAAGACCTGGCGACCTATTTTTATCCCTCCCCCCGCTGATGTCCTGATGAATAACCGAGCGAGCTAATTACGACGTCCGCAGCCGCCACCGTGCCCTTCCTGGGGCTGTGGCGAGTGCAGAGGGGCTGCGGCGAGCTGATGGTAGCGGCTCAGCCCCCTCCACGTGCTCCTCAGCCGGCGGATGGGCTCCCGCCCTCACCCCCCCTCCCCTCGGCCCCCACAGTGGCCTGCCCAGCCTCGCTCGCATCACCGTGGTCCTGCTGGTGGCTGCCGGTGACCTGGCAGCCCTGGGCACTGAGGGCGGAAGTGTCTTCTTCCTGGATGTTCCCACCCTGACGCTGCTCGAGGGGCAGACCCTTGGCCCAGATGAGGTTCTGCGAAGGTGAGAGGCCACCCGGCTTCCCTGCACCCCGTCCGCCGGGCGCGCTGCCACCGGCTCACCCCCCACGCCCCCCTCCCCTCTGCCCCCGCAGCGTGCCTGACGACTACCGGTGCGGGAAGGCCCTGGGCCCCGTGGAGTCACTCCAGGGACACCTGCGGGACCCCACCAAGATCCTTATCGGCTACAGCCGAGGCCTGCTGGTCATCTGGAACCGGGCCGCGCGGTGCGCTGACCGCATCTTCCTGGGGAACCAGGTGTGTGGCGGAGGGGGGAGGCCGGCGGCTGCGCCGGGGTCTCAGCTCACAGCTGCCGCGCTCAACGCCCGTGCACCCCGCCCCGCAGCAGCTGGAGAGCGTGTGCTGGGAGCGCAGCGGCCGCACGCTGGTCAGCTCGCACAGTGACGGCAGCTACGCCGTCTGGTCCACGGACGCCGGCGACTCCCCAACGACACAGCCCACCATGGCCACCACGCCCTACGGTGAGCGCCGGGGCGGCCCGTGCGAGGTCGGCAGTGACCCTGAGCTCAGAGTGGCCTTGGGGGGGGGCGGCTTTGGGAGGACTTGTAGAAGGCGGCGGGGCTGAGCCCAGCTGCGAAGACGAGACCCCCGGGGCTGCCGGGCAGCGCGCCTCCCCCTCGGGAGGTGGGAGTGTCGGAGGCGGGAGGAGCACGGAGGAGCGGTGGGGCCGGTGAGCCCGACGCTGCGCTACCCCTCCAGGCCCCTTTCCCTGCAAGGCCATCGGCAAGATCCTGTGGCGAAACTGTGCGTCTGGGTAGGTGGTGCGCCGGGGCCAAGCCTGGCCCGGGAGCACAGGGCGGGGGTGGGGGGGGCTCTCCTGGTCCCCACGGCGCCCCTCCGGTGGCTCACGTGGCTCCTCCGCCCCGAGCAGCGAGCACTTCGTCGTCTTCAGCGGTGGCATGCCCCGCGCCAGCTATGGCGACCGCCACTGCGTGAGTGTGCTGCAGGCCGAGACCCTGGTGACGCTGGACTTCACCTCCCGCGTCATCGACTTCTTCACGGTGCACAGCATGCGGCCCGAGGACGGTGCGTACCTGCCTTCCCACCCCGTGCCCGTGCGTCTGCGGCTGCACTCACCCGCCCCTTCCCGCAGAGTTCGACGAGCCCCAGGCCCTGGCCGTGCTGCTCGAAGAGGAGCTGGTGGTGCTGGACCTGCAGACGCCCGGCTGGCCGGCCGTGCCTGCCCCATACCTGGCCCCGCTGCACTCGTCCGCCATCACCTGCTCGGCCCACGTCGCCAACGTCCCCGCCAAGCTGTGGGCCCGCATCGTGAGCGCTGGCGAGCAGCAGAACCCCCAGCCGGCCTCCGGTGCCTCGGTGTGTGCCCGGAGGAAGGGTGCTGCCTGGGCACGCGCCTGAGATGGGATGTGGCAGGTGTATGTGGGGAACTCGGAGGGACTTTGTGCCCTGGATGCCGTGCCTGGGGTGAGAGGAGGAAGATGCTTGTCCTGATGTTCTGCTTCCGTCTCTGTCTCCGTCCTCAGAGCTGGCCTATCACCGGGGGCCGGAACCTGGCTCAGGAGCCATCCCAGCGAGGGCTGCTGCTGACCGGGTAGGCGAACGCGTGTCCCCGGCTCAGCCCAGTTGTGACGCATGGTGTGAGTGTGTGTGTGTGTGGGCGAGCAGGGCCTGGCGCAGCCCATGCGGGTGCGGGAGGGCCCATCCTGGGCCTGGGGGGAGCTGACCTGCTCGCTGACTCAGGCCCGGCCCCTGGTGGGACCAGGTCGTCCCCATTCCCGCAGGGTGCACTGGGGTGAAGCCTCCCTAGACTCTGGTTCAAGGTTCAGCCCTCCTTTTAGCCCGCAACTGGGCTCCACCCACTCAGCCTGCCCCGGGACTGGAAAATCTGGGCTGGCCCATGCCGAGCTGCGCAGGGCAGGTGCCCGAGAGCCCAGCCTGGGCCTGGCGGGCGCTGACGTGCCCGGTGACTCGGGCCCCGACTTCCTGCCCAGCCCCTGCCATCCGCCTGTGCTGGGACCCTCGGGCCTCTGACTCCAGCGCCCCTTCTCCAGTGAGAACTCCTCACCGTGGCTTTCAGGGCCTCCGGAGCCGTCCCAACTGGTCCCACGGCCTCACTCACCTCATGCCCTGGCTCTGGGCTCCCCCCACCACCCAGGCGCCGGTGACCTGGACTCTGCATCTGTGTCCTGAGGCTGCACCCCAGTTTGGTCTGCTCCTCCCCGCTTTCCCTCTCTGCTTCCTCCCCACCTCTCCAGGCTTCCTGCTGCTGCCCCTGCCCCAGCCGATCCCTCTGCTCTGTGACTGCCTCTCTGGTCACCTTTTCTGGAGGCTCCCCTGGGGGCAGAACCTCCGTAGTCCTCTGTTCCCTGTGTCACCCGCCCCTCACCTCCTGCTCGTTATTTCTGGTGATTATTTCTGCACCTTCTCACCCTCTTTGCAGGGAAGGGCCCAGCACCTGCTGTATGTGGCCTGGCATACAGTAGGTGCTCAGTATGTGTCCTATACGGTTGGTACTTCCTGTTTGCTGTGTGCAGTAGGAGTCTAGTCAGTGTCTGGCTTAGGTGCTTAGTGCCCAGTGCATGGTCGCTGGATGACTGGAGGGGGCGGGGGGCTGGAGGACCTGGGACCTGACCTCACCTTCCCTGCAGGCATGAGGATGGCACCGTGCGGTTCTGGGACGCCTCCGGCGTGGCCCTGCGGCCGCTCTACAAGCTGAGCACTGCCGGCCTCTTTCAGACAGACTGCGAGCACGCCGACAGCCTGGCCCAGGCTGCTGAGGATGACTGGCCACCCTTCCGCAAGGTGGGCCCCTCCCCTGGCTCCGGGGAGCCTGGTCTGGGCTCCGCCCTGTGTCACCAGTCCTTCTGCCCTGCAGGTGGGCTGCTTCGACCCCTACAGCGACGATCCACGTCTTGGCGTGCAGAAGGTGGCACTGTGCAAGTACACTGCCCAGATGGTGGTGGCCGGCACCGCGGGCCAGGTAGGGCCAAGGCGTCCCCAGGGCTGCGGGTCTTGGGGGCCTTTCTGGAGGGTTTGGTGGGGTGGTAGAGGGACCGGAGCAGCAAAAGCCCAGAGGTGGGAACGGGGCTCCAGGTGAGACCAGCCAGGGCTGTGGGGACCCGCAGAGGCTTGGGGCCGGGGTGGGAGCACAGGTGTTAGATGAGCTCCTGGAGGGCAGGGCTGCCAGGTCCTGGTCGCCACCGTGTTGCTCAGTGAGGGCCCTGGTATACAGTGGGCGTCCAGTAAGTGTTTATTCAGAGGATGCACTGGAGACAATCCTGGGACCACCCTGGCAGAGGCATCGGAGGCTCGGGCGGGGTGCGGGTGGTCCCCTCTTTGTGCCGACCGCCCCCTACCCCTCCCCCCCACCCCTCAGGTGCTGGTGCTGGAGTTAAGTGATGAGCCGTCGGATCAGGTGGTGGGCGTGGCCAGTGTGGACCTCCTCCAGGACCGTGAGGGCTTCACGTGGAAGGGCCACGAGCGGCTGAGCCCACGCACAGGGCCGCTGCCCTGGCCGGCCGGCTTCCAGCCCCGCGCACTGGTCCAGTGCCTGCCGCCAGCTGCCGTCACTGCCGTCACGCTCCACGCCGAGTGGGGCCTTGTGGCCTTTGGCACCAGCCACGGCTTCGGCCTCTTCGACTACCTGCGCAGGAGCCCCGTGCTGGCCAGGTGCGTGCGGGCCCCTCCCGAGGTCTGCTGGGGCGCAGGTGGGGGAGTGCTTTCGAGCCTCACAGGAAGCGCTGCTGGTGGAAGTTAGGCCCCCTGGCGGCTGGGCTCGAGGGCGGGCTCAGGGCTCGGGCTTCCCTGATGCCCGGCACCTGCGCCCCCAGGTGCACCCTGCACCCCAACGACTCCCTGGCCATGGAGGGGCCGCTGTCCCGCGCGAAGTCGCTCAAGAAGTCGCTGCGCCAGTCCTTCCGGCGCATCCGCAAAAGCCGCGTCTCGGGCAAGAAGCGCTCGACCGCCGCCGGCAGCAAGGTGGGCCAGGTGGCTGGGCGGCCGGGTGGGGCGGCCGGGGCGGGAAGACCGGGCTCCTGAGCCTCGTGCCCCTCAAGTTGCAGGAGGCCAACGCGCAGCTGGCGGAGCAGGCCGGCCCCCATGACGTGGAGGTGGCGCCCGTGCAGCGCCGCATCGAACCCCGCTCGGCCGACGACTCCCTCTCAGGCGTCGTGCGCTGTCTCTACTTCGCCGACACCTTCCTTCGCGACGGTGAGGCCGCGAGGGGTGTGCAGGGGGCGTGGTCCTGCCTCCTGGGAGACGGGTGTGGAGTGGCTCCTCCCGGAAAGGTTGGAAAGTGTCGCCTGCCGAGTGCCGGGCTGCGCTGGCAATGGGGCGCCCTGGCCCACAGCTGCCCCCGGGACAGCCCGACGGTGGGGTTGGTGAACGGAGACCCGAGTGGAGACGGGAGCCCGGGGCCTGGGGGGCGTGTGGGCCGCAGCGCCGAGGCTGAGGTGGGCGTGTGTCAGGAGACCCCGGGCAGCGTGGCTGGAGCAGAGGACGGGCCCGGGAGCTGTGGGTTCCGGCTGCCTAGCCAAGGAGCTGGCTTTATAGTAAGGTTTTTTGTTTTTTTAATATAAATTTATTTAGTTTTGGTTGCATTGGGTCTTCGTTGCTGCGCGCGGCTTTTTTCTAGTTGCGGTGAGCAGGGGCTACTCTTCGTTGGCAGTGCGCGGGCTTCTCATTGTGGTGGCTTCTCTTGTTGCGGAGCACGGGCTCTAGGCGCACGGGCTTGAGTAGTTGTGGAACGCGGGCTCTAGAGCACAGGCTTAGTAGTTGTGGTTCACGGGCTTGGTTGCTCCGGGACATGTGGGATCTTCCCGGACCAGGGCTTGAACCCGTGTCCCCTGCATTGGCAGGCGGATTCTTAACTACTGCACTACCAGGGAAGCCCGAGGAGCTGGCTTTGACCCCGAGCAGTTGGAGCCCCTGAGAGTCCTGCAGAGGGCAGTGATGCGGTCGGGTTTATGGACGGAGTTGCTGATTGGTTTAACTTGATGATGGGACACATCTGTCGTGTCTCGGGGATTTTAAGTGAAAGCTCCTGTGTGAGCAGCTCAATGTGCGTCTGGTGGACATAATCTACAGCCAGGGTGCCCGAGTCACACGCCGTAGCGTGGACGCTGAAGCTGGAGTTTTCCTGTCACACTCGGCCCACAGGCGACTCTGTTCATCTTAGAAACGCCTTTTTGGGGTTGGGTCAGTGTCCAGCTAGTCTGCACGTGGCGCTATCATTGATGCATCTTTCTGTCTCCATCTGGGAGGGGAGCCCCCACTTCTGGTGGTGTTTGTGGAGCATCCCTCTGTCCAGTGGATCTTCCCACTGTCTGGATGCGGCAGCCCCGGGGTTTTGGTTGGCCTGCTTCCAGTGTCCCCGAGAAGCCAGCTGGGCTTTGGCAAGCATGGCTTTGATTGCTTGCTAATTTTTTGCTCCAGTTCACCCCCCGCCCCCATGGTTGCTGTTGACATCACCAGTTCATCAAGGGTGCACAGTGGTGACTGCCTGGTCCATCCACGCCCGTGCGTTTTTCGCTGATTTTCCACTTCTTCCTGAGGGGGGTCAGCTTGCGCCGGATGGCAGGCTGGGTGTCTGTGGCAGGACCAGTGATGGACGTAGGGGAGTCGTGGCTCCGCGATGGGGCGGCATCCCCGGGATGCTGGGGGGTGGGGTCTGAGAGGTCAGGGTCCTGTTTGACATCCCCGCAGAGGTGCCCTAGAGGTCACTCCTGCACCTGCAGGAGGACTGGCTGAGGTCACCAGGGAGGTGTGGGCTGGAGAGAACCAGTTCAGGGTCCCAGGGCATCGGGAGGGGCGGGAAGGGATGGCACGTGCCTGCCTCACCAGCCCATCGTCCCCCAGCGGCCCACCACGGCCCCACCATGTGGGCGGGCACCAACTCGGGCTCCGTGTTTGCCTATGCGCTGGAGGTGCCCGCGGCAGCGGCGAACAGCGACAGGCGGCCCGAGCGGGCAGTGGAGGCCGTGCTGGGCAAGGAGGTACAGCTGATGCACCGCGCACCCGTGGTGGCCGTGGCCGTGCTGGATGGACGCGGCCGCCCGCTGCCAGAGCCCTACGAGGCCTCAAGGGACCTGGCACAGGCGCCCGACATGCAGGGCGGCCACGCTGTGCTTATCGCATCTGAGGAGCAGTTCAAGGTGAGCTGACACAGAGATCCCTGGGGCTTCTGCCTCCTGGACACCGCCGGACCCTCGATGACGCTTGCCCGCCTACGCCCACTTGCTGAGACCTCCCGAGAGCCCTCAGCCGGCAGAGACGCCCTGGGGAACCCCGGGGGCCCCCAGGACCTCGACTGCACCCCCAGAGCTCCAGGTGTGGGGGGTCCTGGCCCCCTGCCCTTGCAACCGGCGGGACCGGCTCCACCACAGCGGGAGGGGCCTGGCAGGTTTCCGGGCAGAGAAGTGGGTGGGGCTGGAGGGCCGGGCTGGGTGGCGGCACGGGGGCGAGGACGGGCTGGGCTCTGCTCAGCGGCCATCCCCTGCCCACCTCCAGGTGTTCACGCTGCCCAAAGTGAGCGCCAAGACCAAGTTCAAGCTGACGGCCCACGAGGGCTGCCGCGTGCGCAAGGTGGCCCTGGCCACCTTTGCCAGCGTGGCCTGTGAGGACTACGCCGAGACCTGCCTGGCCTGCCTCACCAACCTGGGCGACGTGCATGTGTTCTCGGTACCCGGCTTGCGGCCCCAGGTGCACTATGCCTGCATCCGCAAGGAGGACATCAGCGGCATCGCCTCCTGCGTCTTCACACGACACGGCCAGGGTGAGGGCCCCGGATGGCAGGGGAGGGGCCGCTCACAGGGCTTCCGGAAGGGGGGCAGGCCCTTCACTACGCTCTCTGCTCCCCTCCCACCCACCCCCAGGGTTCTACCTGATTTCCCCGTCGGAGTTTGAGCGCTTCTCCCTGAGCGCCCGGAACATCACGGAGCCGCTTTGCTCTCTGGACATCAGTTGGCCCCGTGATGCCATGCGTGCCAGGTGTGTGGAGGGGCTGGGGCCTGGAGCAAGGAGCAGGGTTGCCATCCCCGGTGTCACCCCTCTCTGGTCCCAGGGCTCAGGAGTGGGAGGGTGGGGGCCTGGCCCTCGAGCCATGAGGCACCTGCCCCTGGTCCCCAGCACAGACCCATCTCTGCAGCTACAGGCCCCGAGAGTCGCCCAAGCTGAGCCAGGCTAACGGGACCCCTGGCGTCGTCCTGGGCCCACAGAGCCGCGGCGGAAGCCCCGATCCCACCCGCAGCGAGGGAGCTGGTGAGGAGGGAGGGCCTCTGCGGGATGTGGCCCCTGACGGGGCCAGGGGAAGGGCGTGCTGGGCACGAGAGGGTGGAGGTCCGTGTGCTGGTGCCGTGGTCCACTGTGTGCTGGACTCAGGACCAGTGCCCCAGGTGTGGAGGCTGCCCCGGGGCCCTGAGAAGGGCCTGATCACTTCCTCTCTGCAGACACCCCGGAGCTGCCTGAGGCCACGCTCTCACCCACGTCCGTCGACTCGGCCACCAGTGCCGACACGACACTGGACACGACAGGGGACGTGACGGTGGAGGACGTGAAGGACTTCCTGGGGTGAGGAGGTGGCTGGCTCCACAGGAAGGGCTTGGTCAGCTCCCGGCCTCTCTCCCCCCACCCTTCAGCCAGTCTCATATCCCAGCTGGGCACAGAGGGCCGCGGAGGGCCTGACCTCAGACCTGCTGACCGCTGCCCCTCCCTCCAGCTCTTCGGAGGAATCTGAGAAGAACCTGCGGAACCTGTCAGAGGACGAGGCCCGAGCCTGCCCCATCCTGATTGGATGAGGCACTCAGGTGCGGGGCCCTGGTCCCCTCAGCGCGGCCTCACCCCCCCCCCCAACCCCCCGGGTCTTGCACCCGAAACCCTGGCAGGCCCGGGGAGGCGTTTCCCCAGCAGGGCCAGCCCGTCAGCCCCCAGATAACACGGCTGGCGTCTGGAACGAGACCAGGCCAAACCACCTAGGGGAACGGCAGCTTGGGGTTCAGATGGGTTTGGCCAGCCTGTTTCGCAGGTGAGATCACCCAGGTGTGCGAGATTGGGCGCTGCCCGAGGCCGACCCCAGGCCTGAATCTGAGGCCGTAGGTCTGCCCCCGCCCCCCGCCTCTCCCTGCACAGACGCTGTGGCTCCCTCTTTGTTGCTGGGGTCACCACTGCCCCCTCCAGGGCCACGCCTTGGCCTCAGGGGCCCAGATGTGGTCAGGGCTAAGGCTGTCACTACAGGGCCCTTGCCCTCATCCTGGACAGGAGACTGAGTGGTGGCACACGTGTGGCCGGGCCGCCTGCCCCCTTGGACCTCCCTGGCCTTTTGCCGATCCCTTTTTCCTTCATCCACCAGGAAGGCCAGAACTGCCAGGCCTGCCCTGTTCGGAGCTGGGACCCAGGACCCCGGCCCTTCACGTAGACCTGCACCTGCTAATCTCAGGCTCCAGCGGGACCTGCCCAGCCTGGCCCCAGAGGCCACCCGGGAGGTCGGGAGGTCAGGTGCCACAGGGGAGGGCAGCTGGGGCTCACAGCCCGTCACCTCCCAGGCGACAACACCGTCCTTTTCCTCTCCTTTTGCAAAGAGTATTTTTCTAACGCCTGTGCCAGGCACCACAGTCATTTCTAAAACTATTTTGGTACGTGCTCCTGGGCCAGCACCCCCAAAACCACCCCCCCAAGGCTGTGCACAAGTGTGTGTGTTTCTGACTGACACCGGGAGGGACGGAGAGAGAGGGAGAGAGCGAGCGAGCGAGGGGGGGGGGGGAGAGGGGGG